CATACGTAGCATATGTGAGGTTTTTCATATGTTTTTAGGATAGATTATTTCCTTTGCATTTCTGTTGCTTTAAGCCTGGACAACTGTAGTAGCCTACTGTCTAATTTCCCTTTTATTATTTCTCTTTATATTACTGTCAAATTTATATTGCAAGCCATTGCTTCATTATGTTAAAAAGCCTTCAGAGGCTTCCAATTACATATAAGGGAGAAGATAAACTCCTTACCGTTACATTCACTGCTATTCCTGTTACAGTCTAGTTCCAGACTTGGCTCTCAAACCCAAGATAGTTCCCCTATTTTCCTGAAAATTGCCTGATTTTTTATCTTATAATGCTTTTGCTTATATAATACAACATTGACTAAAATATTCATCTCCAGGGTTCCCCTCATTCTGAGCTATTTAAACCACTACGATTCTTTCAAAGTAGATATTCCAGAAAAACTTATCTAAATGTCCTGTCTCACAGTGATTTTTCCTTCCACTGAACTACTGAAATGCTTATTTTTCATACCTCTTCATTTAGGCCCTATTTAACTGCCTTGTGTCATTGATTGTCATATATGCGTATTCTACTTATTTGTGTCCCTGTCTCATCTCCCCAGATAAACTTTAGATTTTCTTAGAGCAAAAATGTTTTATACTTCTCAGTGTCTGTCACTAAATACCTTGCATATATCCCTTGCACTTAATACATTTTAAATGAAGATGTAGATAATTTTAATATATTTGTTTTGACTCAATGTTTCAGAAATGCTTTTAAAGCAGATACCGGGGCACGTGGGTGGCTCAGTCATTAAGCATCTGCCTTCAGGTCAGGTCATGATCCCAGGGTCCTGGTATCGAGTCCCGCATTGGGCTCCCTGCTCGACAGGGAGCCTGCTTCTCCCTCTCCCATTCCCCCTGCTTGTGTTCCCTCTCTTGCTGTGTCTCTCTCTGTCAAATAAATAAATAAAATCTTAAAAAAAAAAAAATAAAGCAGATACGTACCTACATACCTATCGATACATATATACACACATATGCACAGATATACATATATCTACTTTACAAACTAGTCTTTGGGTTTTCACCTTTATATTTAAATCTGAAGTTAAATGGATACTTCTTTTAAAAATCACATTACTGGGGCACGTATCCTGTTAGCAGCTAGAAAGACTAACCCATTTGTCTAGTTATAGAGTGGATTTTAAAATTTTAGATTTTTTTCCAAATTAATATTTATGATTATTTATAAGAATATCTCTTTCTGGGGCATGTGGGTGGCTCAGTTGGTTAAGCATCTGACTCTTGATCACAGCTCAGGTCATGATCTCAGGATTGTGAGGTCAAGCCCCTAGTATGCACTGAGCGTGGAGCTTGCTTGATTCTCTCTCTACCCCACCCATGCTCAGGCACATGCTCTCCCTCTCTCTCTCTCTCTCTTAAAAAAAATCACATTAGTAAGGAATTTAGGATTTGTAATATGAATATTATTTACTCTTATGAGAGAAATATGAATCTTAATATATATACCAAATCAATTTTCATGATACGAATTTCATTTATCCCAATATAACTTTCCTTTAAAACTATTTTTTTTTTAGTAAAATCCATTTTGGTCAATAGTCTTCTTCCAGATGACAAAAACTTCCCTTTATGCTATGGAGCCAATTCATTATAGGACTGACACCATCATGATTTATCTTCAAGTCATATGACAAAAATGTCTTAGAATTATTCCCATGTGAAAGAAAAGGAACTACACTATGGCGGTAACAATTCAGATAATTCTGCAAGTTGAACCGTGTAGAGTTTGCATAATGGAGTTAACATGTATATGGATTAAGCAATCAAAAAAACTTAAGTAGTAATAATTTGAGGATTAGGTTTATTTTGGAAATGTAAAAAAAAAAAAATTTGAATCAGGCAAATGACAAACCATTGGCCTTGAACAACTCAGCTGTAATTGCAAGTGTAGCCTCCCTTACATGGCACTAACCTCCCTCCCTATTACGGACACTCAGTAGCCATACTCCTACATCATCTCGAATAGGGATTCCTAACCTGCAGGCCTTAGATGGGCTTCAGGCACTTAATGTATATTTAAAAAATGTGTATGTGCATTATTCTGGGAAGAAGTTCTGTAGTTTTCATCAGCTTAAGATCTTCACTAAAACCACACACAATGTCTGTTCTTTTTCCTTATGATAAAGCTTTTCAGATGTCTTAAAGTCTTAATCTTCTTTCCTAAGTATCTTCTTTAGGCCTAATATCAGTACATCCTTCAAGTCTTCCTTATCTAACAGGGATTGACCCTTCAACAATCTAATCAAGTCCTGATTTCCTTTATGCAGATAAATTCTAGTTTGTCAATATGCCCCACAAAATCTGCCATCCAGAATCTGACACTTTTGTAGTGAATTATGTGGACAATAGCGAGCTACTGCCTTCCCTTTTTCTGGAAACTATGTTAGCATAGACTAATATTAATGTTCATGATTTCCTTTGTCTGTGAGACACTACATGCTTACTCTCACTCTGCTGAGAGCTCTAGTCCTGATTAGTAACATGCTATGTGGCCTGGGCATCTCTCTGTACCATTCTTCTAAAACTATATTAAAAATGAAAACTTACACCACTTATTAAACAAATGTAGAGTTATTCAACCAATCTCATACTATGTTTTCTTTGGTAGTTCATTGCTTACCTAACAAGATAGGAATTTGGACGATTGCCAGCTTGCTTATTGAAGAAAATTATAATCTGATTTCATGCCTTTTCCTATTTCACACCCCTCGACCCATCACTTTGACAGCCCTTCTGAAGTAATCTTCCTCTCCAGAGAAATCCCAGACATGAAAGCTAATGCCTCCTTTCCTCATAAAACCAACAGAGTTGGCTAATTTCAAGCTGTGTCCCTCGTTTTCAGGACTGGGTTTAAAGCTGTTTGTGTTCTTGCTTACTCTTCTGTATATGATTGATTATGGAGTCTTCAAAGTAGGAGAGAGATTAAATTCTTAAAACATGTATTCCTTAAAAAAGGAAATTATCAACAACCTATTTTAGGAATGCTTACATGAGGCAAGTACCAATGCTAATTTGTAACTAAGGAGCATCAAATGATATTAAAATGCATATGTCATATAATTAGAGAATTATGTACTATTTAATGGATCATTTAGTGTTTTTTTTACTATTTTGTATAATTTTAAAAATTGATTAGATTTAGTTTTACATCTCTTAAATATTGATTTACAAGTAGGTATAGATAAAGAACCTATTAAATAATATTTAGTTGACATTCCTTGGGGTTTGAATAGCTTAGATTTAAAATTAAGTGCTGCAAATGCTTCTGAAATATTGTTATTCTTTTAAATGGAGGAATTTTGGAAAAAATCAAACCTGACAATTTTTACTAAGTAGATGAATTAAAACATACAGTCAACTCTCGATTATTCAAACTAATGGAGGAAAGGATGGAACAAGGATTACTGTTTCTTTAGTTCCTGCCCCCTCAGTTGCTGAGAGCCTCATTCCAAACAAATTCTTTGGCTTTCTGTCTTGAACATGTTACATTTCCTAACCTTTTATCCAGGATGCAGTCTGAAATACAGCTTACAATTGAGTTGACAAGAACATTTCATATTATCACGTTCTGCTCTTCTCAGACACATTTTTTAATCCAGTGCTTTAGCACTGCTTTTGTACTATTAAGATTCACATGAGAAACTGATAACATTGTCATTAGGACATTATCCTCATGGCTCATAAAATTAGTTTTATGTTAAAAAAATCTTATCTTTGAATTATAATTTACAGATAATTATAACCTTTCAAAGGCATTACCTCATGGTACCAAATTGCTTTTTTAAATTTTTTAATACAAAAATTTTATGAGACTTTTTTATCTTGAAGAGTCTTTCATAAAAATTCTTCCAACTTTTTGAATTCTTAATGAGTGCAATATTTCTGAGTACTATATGTGTTTGTAAAAGGGAAGAAATGCTGAAGGAATTTATGTGTGAAAACAGTATGTTGCGTGTATATAATACATCATTTTCTCTACTAATTAACTGCACACAGTGTGCTATTATCCAGACATAAGTATTCATGGGAACGCATGTATCTGGATAACTACAAGTTGAAATAAACACACCTGCCTTTTATTTCAATAACTGCACATTCAAATCCACATAAGGTATTTATTTGAATGTGACCTCCATATACATGAGAAAACGTTGGTTTCAGTGTTCAATTTTTTTGTTGATGTTTTGTTGTTGTTGATTTAAATCTAAAATAGGTACAAACTGTGGATAATGCTTCTCTGGAAAACTTTGCATGCAGGGAGAAGGAAATTCAAAGATAAATCCTATGAAAAAACACTGAAATTGTTTTGTCTTATTATATTTTGCCTCACTATATATTGAAGCTAAATTCTTATTGAATGTAGTGATGCTTAAAGCCAAAGTATGTACAGACCATAAACCCACCTGGAACTGTGCCTACTTTACCTTAAGTTAAATAATTTAATTATTTTTCTTTACAGAATAAACTTGTTGATCTTTGATTTGGAGAATCTCTTTTTCCTCAAAAAGCTTTTTCCTTGAATAGTGTATTAGAATATGTCTAAGAGATCAAGTTTTCTATTAGGCAATGGAAGTGTTTGGTACAAGGCTTATTTTAAAGTCTACATAGTAGTTTCCCCTCCCCCTGCCAACCACCAGCACCATATAAGCCGTATTTCTATATAGTTAGTTTTAACTGACATGAGCCAGAAAATTGAATTAGGATTTCCTTAAGAGTCTTAACTTTGAATTTCCTACTTTTCATTGCATGTAAACTATCAACCACAAGTAATAGTTTCAGCTCAAGTTCTAGCTTGTATTTTGCATGTTAAAGCTATAAAAAGTCTATTAATGCTGGACAGAATTTATGGCTATTGTTCCGCTATTGCCTAATTGTTAAAATTTATAAATAAAGACTGACTTTATTTATGTAGACTTGTCTTTCTGCCTTAGGGAGTGAACTACTTTATGTCCAAGGGTATCCTAGATGATTCACCAAAGGAAATAGCAAAGTTTATCTTCTGTACAAGAACACTAAATTGGAAAAAACTGAGAATCTATCTTGATGAAAGGTAAAAAAAAAATTTAAGTTTTCATCAGAAATGAGTTAAGTAATGCTTTTAATGAGTTAAGCTTTACTTTTAAAACTATACCACATAGCAGTCACCTAGTTGAGAAATTTTTCTCACAGCTATTTATAACTACCATTGTAGCCTGAAAGCAGACAAACAGTATGTAAACAAATGAGTATGGCTGTGTTCTAATAAAATTTTATTTACAAAAATAGGGAGTGGGCCATATTTGGCACACTAGCTATAATTTGCCTATCCCTACCATAAACAATTGATAGAAATTAAAGATATGATCATATAATCATGGTTGAGTTCAGCAAGAATTGAAGCATAGTATTACAAAGGATGACTATTGATTAGAGTGCCATTGATAAAAAATATGTATACACATACACATATACTTACACAAATATTTATATAATTGTAAATAATCCAAATGTACATAAGTAGAATTGTTACCTCCATAAGATGGAATACTGTTGAGTCATTAAAAAGAATGATTTAGATCTGTGAGTAAAGACATAGAAAGCTGTTTACAGTATACCATATGAAATAAGAAAAGCAAATACTAGGAAAAACATATACTATATGTTGACACTTTTTAAAGTCTACATAAATAGTTGTTACCTCTGGTGGTGTGGATTGCTGTGGAAAGTGAAAACTCTTATTTTCAGAGTTAAAAACATAAAGAATTCTGTTGCTATTTGAATTTAGCCAAAAAAACACTTGAAAAGAAGCTGACACTTTTAATATTGCAAAATTTATTTTTTCTTCATTTTATAATTAGAATTACTAGTTTCACCTTGCTTTGTTATAACCTATGCACAAAAAATTTAAGAATTATTTAATGTCTTAAATAATCAGAGTTGGATTTTTTAATTTTAAGGATTATGTATACTTTGTAGGATTAGCTGATCTGAGAATCAATAAAGTATTTTCATCCAAAACATAATTTGAGTCCTTATCATTTTTTTAGTAGAGAAATGTTAACTAAAGCTGTGTCTTTTTCTTTTTCCACTAGGAGGGATGTCTTGGATGACCTTGTAACGTTGCATAATTTTAGAAATCAGTTTTTGCCCAATGCACTGAGAGAATTTTTTCGTCATATCCATGCCCCTGAAGAGCGTGGGGAGTATCTTGAAACTCTCATAACAAAGTTCTCACATAGATTCTGTGCTTGTAACCCCGATTTAATGCGAGAACTTGGCCTTAGTCCTGGTAAGAATATATATAGTGAATTCCTTCCAGCCCCGTTCCCACCTCCAGGTAAAAATAGTAGTATATGAGACATTTTTTTCTCACCACGGGGAAACGTGCTTTCAGTAATTACAAATACTTCTCTTACTACTTACAGCAATGACTAATTCTATAGAATACAACATTTATGTGAGCTTAGAATAGTTTATCATAGCTGTCATTTATATGTAGTAAACACCGTTTTAGGAAGAAAGTTAGACTTAGCTATAAATTTATTAAAAGTATTCTTGATTGAGAATTGGATATTACTAATTTAACTAAAAACTTGAGAAATTATTTTTAAAGCTTTTCATAGTCCACATATTACATAGGTAACACCTAGAATTTTTCTACTAAAAAATTTATTTTTAATACAACTAATTTTTATAATTTGTGTGTATGAGTATATAGCTATGTACATGCAATATAACCTGAGTATTCTACGTATTTTTTCATTTGACAGAACTTTACTTACCTCTTCATCTCAAAAATTGTATTGTATTGATTTAGTGGTGGTTACAAAACATTTACCCATCATATGAAATTTGTTGAAAATGCTTTTATAAAACATAATATTTGACTTTGCTTTATTAAGCCTGCAGGATTCTGAAATAAAAACCCCATAGTAGTAGCAAGTAGTTGTAGCATATAATAATAAGTATCTTGAGGTTTGTTACTATTTTGATAGTAAACATCAGATATTGCTTTGGGCAAAAATAAAGACATTTTGTTGTTGTTGTTGCATGCTGCTCAGGTTTAGCAATCTTTTCCCTAAAAATTTACTTCTGAAATTAATACGTAAATTCCATGGACCTTAAAAATACATATGTCAAACGAGAATATTAATGTAATAATCTTATAAGTTGTTTACATTTTATTTTCAAGGACTGTTAACATATGTCTTTGTCATTAAATATTTTCCAATTAGATTTTTATAAAAAACATTCTATGTAAATATATATGTGGGTTTTGGGGTTTTGTTTTTTTTTTTGAATGGGAAGATAAATATACTAATGGTACAGGTGTATTTTATGGATAGTTGAGTGGGAGTATCACATTTGAAAGCAAAGATGAAAATAAAGCCAATTCTGAAATTTTTATATTTAGAATGAGCTTTCACTATAAATTCCTAAATTACTCTAAAATGCTTTATGAGTTGAAGGAAATACTCACGAACTGGTGGTCAGTTAGGATGATCAACCATCCCTATTTGTCCAGGACTGAAGAGTTTCGCACGACACGGGATTTTCAGTGCTAAAACTGGAAGAGGCCCAGGCAAACTGGGATGAGTTGGCCATTCTCTGTTTAGTTATGATCGAATCTCAATTTCTTTAAATTATGAAAATTTTTGCATTAGATAATGCCTTTGGGACCGCATTTTTCAAACCACCTACTAATTTGAGGTGTTTCTTTTTAATTCCAGATGCTGTCTATGTCCTGTGCTACTCTTTGATTCTACTTTCCATTGACCTCACTAGCCCTCATGTGAAGAATAAAATGTCAAAAAGAGAATTTATTCGAAATACCCGTCGTGCTGCTCAAAACATTAGTGAAGATTTTGTAGGGCACCTTTATGACAACATCTACCTTATTGGCCATGTGGCTGCATAAAAGCACAATTGCTAGGACTTCAACTATTAACTTCAAACTAAAGTTACCCAAGGACTTACTTAGCAGATATGGGGGTTACATTAGTGCTGGTCATTCTAGCCTCTGTATACAATCAAGCTCGAGTGTATACCATTTTTTTCTTTTACTATTTTCTTTTTTAGTGATTTCCTTGGGGAACTAAATAATTTTGCAGAACTTTTCTTAATTTTGCTTATCATGTTTTGCACAAAGCAGAGCCATTGTCTGACACAGCTGTTTAAGAATGTTAAACTGACATTATACTCTAAAGGTGGTATATGTGTGCATTAGATTTGCTTGAAAAACTACTCATTTTCATTCTTTTTTAAAATACCATTTAATGTGTACATATTTAACTAAAGAGATTTATAATCATAATTATTTTATTGTAAAGATTTTAACTAAAGCCTTTCCTTTTTCTCTCAAACTGAGTTCTGAAATTTATTTGATTCTGATCTGAGCTTATGACTGTCTTCATAGAAGTTGGATCTGACTTGGATAAAAACCAATACCAGTTTCTCTTTCCTTTGAACTTTGAAAAGAATATTAATTTATTACTAGTAATAAGCAAAACAGGCACTTATTTTTATAATATAAATTCATCACTTGACTTTCCATTTTTAAAAGTTCTGGGTTAGTCATTTCTCAATAAGTCCTTTAAAGTATTTGAGATAGCAAAATATGTTAAAATCTAGGATTCCCATACCTAGGAACAGAATGTTATTAAAACTTGTATCTCTTGTAATTAGTCAAAATTTACCATTCTCTTAACTTGAAAATTTCTGTTTAGAATCAGTTGAGAAAGGAGTATTGTGAATGAACAAATTTTCTTTCTTCTTTCATTCAAAAATATTTACCAAGGACCTTCAGTGTACTAGACACGGTGCTAGGTAATAGCGATACCTAGACATGGGCCCTGCCTTCATAGATGTTACATGATTGGTAACAAAAGGAAAAATACTGCTTCTTGGAGAGCAAATGTAGAAAGCATAGCTTAATTAACAATTATTTAATTATGAAACACTTAGCACTGAAATGATAAAGAACAGTACATTTATATGGTAAGTCAGAAGTTTCTTGGGAATCCTGCTAAGCGAAAAGCATCAGCTTTTAAATGAGACACTATGTGATGAGTAGAGCTGCTAGTTTAGGGGGTGGAACTTGGAGGATTAGAAACTTTTTACTGGAAGTGCACAGTCCCAGTTTCTTTCCAGATCTGGTCCTAAGTAAATAGTGGTTGGTAATATTATAACTGCAAGTGATATCCTATAGAATTTTCAATGACAAGACATAAGATAATCAGACAATTTCAGAAGTCAAAGGGACTTTTAGACTGGAAGTAAACAAGTTCTCAGATCTTGAGGAAAACACCTAAATTTTCACATGTGCATAATTTTGAATTCCATGACAAAATGCTTCTTTGTAATTTTTAACTTTAATTTATTGGAAAGTTTCAGAAGACCAACAGTAATGATAACATTTTATCGTTTCTATTTTCCCATGAATGGCAGGCATCTTGCCCTCTCTATCTCCTTTACTTTTTCTTTTTTTTTCTATCCCTATTTCTCCCTTACCATTGGGTTCTTTCTACCCCTGTTTTAACTTTACTCTTTTCTTTCCTTCTTTTTTTTATTTTATTTTATTTTTTATTATTATGTTATGTTAATTACCATACATTACATCATTAGTTTTGATGTAGTGTTCCATGATTCATTGTTTGCATATAAGACCCAGTGCTCCATGCAGTACGTGCCCTCTTTAATACCCATCACCAGGCTAACCCATCCCCCACCCCCCTGCCCTCTAGAACCCTCAGTTTGTTTTTCAGAGACCATAGTCTCTCATGGTTCATCTCCCCCTCCGATTTCCTTCCCTTTCATTCTTCCCCTCCTGCTATCTTCTTCTTTTTTTTTTAAATATATAATGTATTATTTGTTTCAGAGGTACAGGTCTGTGATTCAACAGTCTTACACAATTCACAGCGCTCCATTTCAGTTTTTCCCCTTTTTCCTGTTTTATTTTTTCCACCCTGACCTGATTATAAATGTAGATTGGCAGAATTCTTTTTTTAACATTTTCTTATGAAAATTTTCAAACATATAAAAATTAAAATATTTTACAGAGAATACGTATATAACCACTATGTAGATTCTACAATTAAAATATTACTGCATTCACTTTAGCTCATATTTATCCATCCCTCTGTCCATCAGTCAACCTATCTTATTGTTTTAAGACAGGTAATACAGGTTTCGGACCTCAGAATACTCTTTCTTCCTATAGAATTCAACTTGTGTATTGTTAGCTAGAGATCCACTTTTTAAAATTTTTTTTTCTGTATAGGTAAAATTTGCATTCAGTGAAATACATAAATGTGAAGTATACTAATCAATGAATCTTAATAAATACATACACTTGAATAAACCAAGCCCATATCAAGGTATATGACTTGATACAACCTATTTACAGTTAATATTTGTACCAGTTCACATAAAATATAGAAGCCTTGTAGCCATACAGGAGTGTTTACCCACTTCCTCCGTTTGTTATTTTATAGTTGTCATATGAGTTACAGATAGCACACATTACAAACTCCACACGGTAATAATTTGCTTTGAGTAGTTGTATAGACTTTAAACAAGGGGGAAAAAACCCTCGTTTATATTGACCCACATTATCACTTCTAATGCTTTTATTCCTTTCTGAAAATCCAAGTTTCCTTGTAGTATCATTCATGTCAGCCTGAAAAATATTAACATCTATGACACTTAGGTCTGCTAGCAATTAATTATCCTAGTTTCCTTTTACATGAAAATGTCTTTATTTTGTTTTCCTTTTTGAAGAGTACTTTTGCTGCATATATAATTCTGCATTGACAGTTTCTTCCCCCCTTTCACACTTTAAAGATACTCCTCCACTGTTTTCTGGCCTCCATTGTTTCCAGTAAGAAGTTGGTATATTCAAATTGTTTTCTCCCTGTGTGTATAAAATTCCATTTTCCTCTGACAGTTTTCTTTTGTCAAATATTTTTCAGTCTCTTTTACACATGTGCTAAAACTTTTGATATCATCTTACAGATCTTTTTTTTTTTAATCTTTTTTTCCTCTTTTCTTCAGTTGGATTATTTCTCTTGATCTCTGTTCTAGGACATTACTCTTCTGTAATTGTTCTTCTTTTAAGCTCATTCAATGAAATTTTTTAATTACTATACTAGAAATTCCTTCACTTTTATAATTTATATTTCTGTGCTGCTGAGATTTCCTATCTTCATTTACTGTAAGCACATTTTTCCTTACAACCTTGAACATAGTTAAATAGCTGCTTTAAGTCTTTATCTGCTCATTTCATCTTCTTTGATTGTCTCTTCTTTTGAGAATAGATTATATTTTCCTGTTTCTTCATATGTTAGTAATTTAGACTTCATCCTAGACACAGCAAGTAAAATATGTAGAAACCCTGTATTATGATAGTTTCTCCAAAGACTTTTTTTTTTCTTTTTAAAGCTGGAAGTTAACTGGCAGAACTCAGTTGCAATCTCTTACTGCCCTGAAGTAGCTCAAATGTCAGTTCACTTCTTTAACCTGGAATCTTTTCTGTGTGTACATACCTCAGAGAGAAGCCAGAGTTTGGGGCACAGTTCATACACAGAAATTAGGGTGCTCACTCTTCTTTTCTTGCCATTATTTCTTTCTTCATTTTCTTGCAGCTACTATTGCCCCCAAACTCTGCTCCATGGTTCTTCAAGTCAGTAAAACTAAAGGCTCCAGTGATGCAGACTGGGGGCTGCCCTCAGGCAAAAACTATAAAATGGGAAATTCATCCAACTCTAGCTTTTTCTTCCAAGTATTCTCTTCAGTGTCAGCCTGAAAAATATTATTGGGTCAGCCTTTATTGGGTTGCTTTCCATTTCTGTACTTTGTCCAGTATTTGTGGTTTTATCTGTTCAAGGATTGGTATGAAAGAGCTACTGGGCCATCATCTGAAGTAGAACCCTCTTTAATTGGGCAGTATTCTTTTTACCTCTTTCTAAGCTTACTGAATAGGGATTTATTCCTGGCATTTTAAAAACTAGGTGTGTATAAATTTAAATGTTTATTTTTTAAAACCCCATCATCATAAACATTTACTGAATGCTTAACTCAATTAGAAATTCAGTGTTTTCCAGTGGAGGTCCCACTGGCTTTTGGGGAAGGATGTTCATTGTGCGAGACCGCTCCCTACAGTAGAGGACATCAGCATGCCTGGATTTTGCTTGCTAGATGCCAGTAGCATCCCTCAGTTATTGTATAAATAATGTCCCCACATGTTTCCAAATGCCTGAAGTTCGGAACTAGTGGACCTTCTTTCTGATAAAACAAATTTATCTTTCTAAAACACAAGCTCCTTTTGACACATCTGTTTAAAGTCCTCAATAGCTCCCTTTCTACAAAATTAAGCCTCCTTAGCATGGCATTTAAGGCTGTACAATCTGGGGGCACCTGGGTGGCTTGGTTGATCATCTGACTCTTGATTTCGGCTCAGGTCATGATCTCAGAGTCCTGGAATTAAGCCCCGAGTCAGGCTGCATGCTCAGCAGGGAGTCTGCTTCCCCTCTCCCTCTGCCCCTCCCCACCCGTGCACACACACTCTCTCTCTCTGAAATAAATAAATTTTTAAAAACAAACAAAAAAGGTTATACAATCTGGCCTCAGCTTATCTTCCTTTAAAGCCTCATCTCCAGCGTTCCTCAAATGTGATCTGATCTGTCTTTGACTTGTACAAGCTGGTCTTCCTGTGATATCCTGCTCTCCTTTCTCAATCTAAAGTTCCCCTGCTCATCATCTAAGATCCACCTCAAATATAGCTTATTTAGCAAAGCTTTCAAAGACTGCCTTTCTATTATAAGGCCTGAACTAGGTAAGTGGCAGAGGACTTAGAGAGGAGGAACGAATGAAAAACAAAAACTGAAAATGGATGGGATTTAATGATTTTGAAGTAAGGTGTTTGTTTGATGTAAAGATCTGGTTGTCCTACTATCAAAGGTAGCTACTAAGAGAAGCAACCAGTGGAGTGATATGGAACAAATAAGATCCCAATTTTCGGATATTTTTAATTTGAAAGTATCAATAGAACATTGGTTGCAGCTAGAGAATAAGGCTAGAAAAAATCAGCGCTGGATATGTAACTTTGGGGGTCTTATTAGTATTTAAAAGGTGTTTTGTTAGGTGAAGCACTGGAGAAAGCTGCTCTAGGAGGTTTGTTAAGTAAAAAGAAATGTTTGGGGAACACAGCATTTTAGGTTTTGGTAGAGAAAAAGAGAGTTTGTGAAGACTATAGAAGGACCAGAGAAGAATGGTGTCCTGAGAGCTAGCAGTGGAGTTTCGAGAAGGACGCTGGCTGAGCTTGCATTTGGTGCAGCTCAACAAGTAGTTTTTTTCCCATCTACACTCAAGCTTCTTTGAGACTACCTTTTCCACTTAAGGCTGAGTTCTTTAGTTACAGTAGTGCTGATGGCTTTTATATTGTCTGACCAAATATTCTCTTACCCAGTGCGTAATCTGAGCTCTACTGAAACCCACAAGGGCACTTACGGTCCATCGCAACTCAGGCCTGTCTACACCTCCCATCCCCATGAAGGACGAAGGGCTGTGCTATTTCAAGGCTAGAACATAACCATACCAACTGGGTACTTCTAGTGCATTTTTCCTATACACAATTACCAGTTATGTTTTCTAATATACAGGTTTGTTTAGTTTCCTTTTTAAGAAAAGAAGGCAAAGAAAAAAAGTGCTCAAAAACTTTGAGTTCTCCAGATTTATCATCAGCAGGATTTTCCCTAAGTACATTTGTTAAAACTAATACTCCATAATCTCAATGAACTCTGTATTTTCATCCTTCCATTAATTTTTCTTTTTTTCTTTTTTTGGAAAGCTTGTAACCTCTGCCTCACATTTACCTGTTGAAATGTTACTTGTCCTTCAAAGTCCTTTTAGATTCTTTCCTCTCCAGGGTAACTGTTCCAATTCTTTCAGGTAGAAATTTTATTCTTATATCTCCCTCAGTACCTAACATAGACCTTGGCCAACTGAATTATTTTAGATCTGGTTTAGTTTGTACATAAGCACATAGGAAGATGGCTTTACTGTGTCCATTTTTTAAAAATATATTTGGAGCTTTCAGTTGTACACAATTTATAAATTGGAACATATTAGATTTAACTTCTTAAAAATATTCAAAAGCAAATTCAATGTGTGTATTATTCTTGATATAAATTTGTCTCTAGAGGACTTCTGATTTTAAATATTTGGATGAATCAGTACTTTAAGACTTTTTTTTTTTAATTTCAAGAGTTTAAGTTGATCTTAAATTGATCTTTTACTTACATTTTTTACAATATGATTAATATGGTGCTTGATGAGAGTAAGCTTATTCAGAACTCTTAACATTTAAGATAACAACTTGTTTATTGTAATTTGAGTCTGTTTTCCTGTGTTTAAAATGAACTTCTTAAATATCATACTGCTAACTGCCTAGTTTCTTTTTAAGCATTCATAACTGAATATGTCCACTGTGAGAAGCCAACCTAAGGAAATAATCCAAAATAGGCAAAAGGCAGTACTTACATCATTAGTTTTGCAATTGTTTTTAATTCAAGGTATTAAAAAAAAAAAAGGGGTATAACCGGAATGCCCAAAACTTGGGGCTGTACAAACAAATAACTAGCAGATATTTGAGTACAAACTATGTACCAGACCCTATGCGAGGCACTGGTCAAGTAGACCAAAAGACATCCTTATCATGTATTACCGCGAGGCTATGATGTTTATAAATAATATGGGAAAGCAGTTACAAATCATGATGAAAGCCAAAGGGATATGAAATTATGCATATATGTATATATGTGTATGTGTGCACATACACACACGTTACAATTACTATGTAAAACACTGCAAAAACCTGATCGGAAAACAGACACTAGAGTAAAATATACCAAGATACGGGATAATGATCTTATTTCCTCTTTCAAATATTATTAAGGATCATATATTTTAGATAGAACCAAGTAAATTCCCCGAACTATTCAGAAAATAAAGATAAATGGTGTCCCTAAATTAACCAGTATAGTTTCCCCTCAGAATGTTTCCGTGTATTTTTATTCAAAATTTGTTTTATTTTTAAAAGACACTTGGTTGATCTGTTAAATCATTTCTGGACAAATGTTTTGTTTTCAAGCCTCCAAAAGTGGATTGTTTTATATTATTTTTGTCTCATCAAATTAAAGACAAACAAGAGAAAGATACCAAGTCTTTACTGAGGAAATTTTCATTTGTTAAAAAAAAAAAAAAAAATGTCTTTCTTCTTGGCGTGGTTGGACAGGAAGGTTGGATTTAATTTAAAATGATTAATGAGATTTTGTCAGGCTCCTTGACTTCACCGCTACTGCAGTTTGTCAGTGCAAAAACCCAGGGAGCCCGGACGCCACTCTGTCGCCCAAAACCACTCTCCGGGGAGAAAATTAACTGGCAGAAGTAGTGCCAGGTACATGTCAATGGCATTGTCTCCTGGGTATTGACAGTTTAAAGGTCTGAATCAGAAATATGTAAGTTTCGGGGACACACATACCTAAGATAATGTTTTCACTCTCTTTGCAAGTCGCTAATCACTTTTTAAATATTTCAGTGGCAAAAAAAATATATATATATACTTAAGTTGTTGATGCTTTCCAAAGGAAACTATGTAAAGCCAAAATCTTTACTAATGTCTCTCCTCCCTAATTTATTTTAAAAGTTAAAATAAACGAGGATTCAAGGACCTCAGGTTACTTTCTGCTTTCTTTTTTTTGTTTTGTTTTTTTTTAAGAATTAAGGTGAAGCATTCTTAGAAAGTGAAATCATTTTTCACTTTTGAGAACACGTCTTAGCCATCAGCATGACCCAGTTTTATTATCAAGTTTTTAAATTAAGCTGAAAGGTGATCTGACTTAACACACCCTTTTGTGCTTATTTGTGCACTTGAGTTTAAAACTAATCAATGTGATTAGCTAAAACCAAATTACTGAATATGGTTAGTTATGGATGGTTAAAGCAATGTGTGTTTCTGGCTTTGGTGTAAAACTGCAAAAGAAAACGATACCAGTGTTGATCATCTTCTTTAAAAGCCTGTCTCAAAGAGTTCAGGCAAAAGGAATTTCTTCCAACAAAATGGTAGTGAAGGTTTGAGGATATTATAAGACATCTGAAGACTACCTTTGTAGAAGTTTAACAGAACGAATATTTGCCAATTTTTATCCAAACAAAACATGAACAAAGAATGCTTTCATGTTAAACAATTTCTTTGTTCATGTTTTGTTCACTCTACCGTTCTGAACGGGGAATGTATGCAACCCGAGGAGACAGACCCTCTACCAGGACCAGACTTCCAATGAATCTGCTTGTGCTTCTGCTGGAGACAGGCTGAGAAAAGCACAGGAAAGTGGAAACGTCTAGAAAAGTTGATCAAGGCCACTGCTCTTACTGGGAGGACAATAAAAGGAGCAAAATAGAGTAGCTCTGGGTATATACCAGCTCATCCTCAACCATCACATTGCCTTGCAGTGAGTTTCTGTCAAGGCAAATGTCATTTTCCATCCTGAGGCCATCAAATCGTTGATTGTATCTCTAAAACTCTCAAAAATTGTACACACTATTTTTAATAAGTATCAATTTTAGTGTTGCAATCTAGCTGCTTCATTACATGTCCCCCCGCCCCAAAAATGGACTGCAGTATTCAATGTAGGTAATCATGTTTATGAAGGGATTCAGTTACTCATTTTATTTTACTTTGGAGATACTTGTTTTTACTACGTAACTCAAAATAAATATACATATTTTCTCCTTCCCTTAGTTAATCTTGGAACAAAGAAAATAATGCATAGTATTTTCCAAAATGCCACCCCAAAAAGATTATGGCCATTGTCAATAATAAGCCAGAAAAATGAAACTCTCTTGAGTGAGGCCAAGCTCACTCAGTTTAGCTCAGCCCCAGTTTAGATTAGGTGAAATCCAATGCCCTTGGAACACTGTTCCCAGGGTAGCATTTAATACCATGATGAATTTGTTGGTTCTGGGTCTGGTTCTCGGCCTCAAAATCTGGTTTTGTCAATAGCCCTTAAGCAGTGTATTTTTCACGGCATTGATTTTTAAATCTAGAACTGAAGGTTATGTTACAATAACTTACTGAGTGTGATCAGTACATCCTCTCTCTTTACCAGCCTTCAGAAAGTCGATGGATAATCATGGAGTCAGAGCAAGGGAAGTTACCAGAATCAAACACTTTATATTTTGTATCAAACAGCATAACCAAATGCACCACACTCTCAATAGAGATGATTTTTGCACATTTAGAGTTTGATAGCCGAAGTCCCTTTGCACTAGGTATGGCCAGGATTTGGCTTCATATTTCTTTTTATTTTTTTTTAAAGATTTATTTATTTTTGAGAAAGAGAGAAAGAGCATGAGCAGGAGGAGGGGCAGAGGGAGAAGCAGACTCCCCACTGAGCAGGGAGCCTGACTTGGGGCTCGATCCCAGGACTCTGGGATCATGACCTGAGTGGAAGGCAGACGCTTAACGACTGAGTCCCCCAGGCACCCCATATTTCTTTTTATTTTATACTGTTAAGTGAAACAATGCTTTGCCTTTCCCCTCCTCACCGGTTTCCCTTTTCATTGACTCAAAGCGTTTCTAATCCTTTTTTTCCCCAAGTTTAAATGTCAGTTAACACACAGTGTAATATTAGTTTCAAGTGTAGAATTTATTTTATAAGGCTTTCAATTATTATTACATTAATTTCTTTAAAACCTTAATATAGTAGATCACATTACAGGCATGGCCTGCTCCCTAAAGCCATTCTCATGCATTTTGTGCTTTTCTCACTATTTAAGGGAAATCTCATTTCTCACATATTCAAGTTCACTATACCCCCCAAGTACCTATAACATGGTATAAATTTAGGACTTTTTTTTTTTTTTTACAATATAGTGATGTTTTAACTTAAGTATTCAAATAAGCATTTAAAGATGGCTCATTTTTGGGGGAAGAAGGAATTAACCAGGGGCTATGAAGAGACAAAAAGGAAGAAAACTGTCCCTTACTATCAAAGGTTTCAGTGGGAGGAAGGCAACCATAATCCATACAGTTCTATAATACTTTATATATAACACCACAATTTTGCAGAGGTCTGGAGAAGTTATGTGACTTTCGGAGGCTGACATGAACATCTATAGGGATCAAGAGAGGCTGACTCCCAAAGTACATTTTGTATATTACTAACCTTAATGAACAGCATAAGAAAATGTGCTAAAAGATTTTAATAAAGAAAAAGACAACCAGCATTTTAGAAAAAGTGAACAATTAACACTCAACTAGCTGAGGGGTGCCTTGGTGGCTCAGTCAGTTAAGCAGTTGCCTTCAGCTCAGGTCATGATCCCAGCGTCCTGGGATCGAGCCCCGTATCAGGCTCCTTGCTCAGCAGAGCCTGCTTCTCCCTTTGCCTGCCGCTTCCCCTGCTGTGCTCTCTCTCTCTCTCTCTCTCTCTGACAAATAAATAAATAAATAATCTTTAAAAAACAAAACACTCACCAGCTGATTGTGAAGGATGAATATTATTTCAATAGGTGTATTACTGGCTCGGGGGAATAGCGTGCGTGATCTAAGGCGTGGCAACAACACCGAGGAGAGGCGGGGAACGGTCCCTAATCTGCTAGAACTGGAGGATAAGGTGTGAGCAATGAGTTAGTGGAAGAGATGACCAGAAAATATAGATTGGAGAAAGTAAGCTGAAATAGAGTTGGAACTTTAGTTGTGTAGGCAATTGGAAAGTTTCATGAAGAATGCTGTCATTTCTGATCTGTGACTCAGGAAGATCTTTCTAAAGCCCATCTAAAACATGAAGTCGAAATGCAACAGAATGTAGTGCATTCAAGGAAATCAGTGAAGAGGCCCCTGTACTTACACAAGCAAAATATGGAAAGCTTGACCTTCAGCATCGATACCGGGCGTGCAAATGGAGGAAAGATCCGGAAGATATTTTGGAAGTAAACCGTCTTGGCAAACTATGGGCTGTTGGATATAAAGAGGAAGGGGTTAAAAATTACCCCAAATAGTCTGAAGAAGATGTTGCCATTACAACACAATAGAGGGACACAATTCAAGGTCAGGTTTGCTTGGGTTGAGTGTAAGCTGGTGATTAGAAGGAGAGAATGAGCTCCCTTTTTTCAGTTAAATGTAAAGTGCAAATAGGACAATTACATGAATATTATTCAGCAGTTAGTTTAGAAATGTATAATAATGCAAAGATTAGAGATGAAAGCTGAGATAACATTTTGGGAGAGTCCTTGGCATAAAAATGTAGAAGAAATAGCAGAGGAGATACGTATATTGTCATGACTAATTAGCACAGTGCATGAAAAATTGTAGGGTCTAAAGAAATAGTTGTTGAATGAACACATTGATAAGTCTTCTCAAACCACATATCCAAAAATTTCTAACATGGCTT